GAATGACAGGGCAACTTTACCTGACATCTGTTAACCTTCATTTAGTCTGCTGACAGGCTATTGGCTTTCACAAAAGAAAAAATGGTGCCTCTCCCCCTTCACACCAAATTTAATAATACATACAGACACACATTAATTAAAGTATCTGCATCTAACACCTCTCAACACCTCTATTATTCTATTTTCCCAATCATAGTCACTATGTTGTACACACAATATTCCAGTACTCTCCTAACTTCCTGTCCTTATAGTTTAAGCTCTTCATAGCAACCGGAGAAATCTTCAGACATATATCAGATTGTCATGTTCTAAATTGTCCAGTGGCTTTCCCTTACAGTTTTCATTTTTATAATAGACATAAAAGTACTCAGTTACTGGGATTCTGAAAATCAAATAAGGCACATAAAATATTCCACACAGTGCCTGAAAATGTCAGACTAATATAAGTATACGCTCCAAAATTTGAAAAATCCCAACAATTTTCATGGAGTGTGCTAAGTAATTAGACAAACAGAAACTTAAGGTATTCCACATATTTCCTACACTTTGCCTCAAAGAAATCAAAAGAATCAAGACAGTTTATTACAAATACCCATATAACAAGATAAAAATAAACTGACATGAGAACTAGACTATGTAACATAAGATTATACCAGAACTGGATAATTAAAATGCATGTCATCAGATACATGGATTATCTAGAGATAGGCTACAAAGTTGGCTCTAGGCTTCCTACCAATTAGCACCATAAGCAAAAATAATAATTAAATGACCTTCTCAGAAGAAGTACCAATGGCCAATAAATATATGACTAAATGTTCAACATTACTGGCCATCAGAGGAATGCAAAGTAAAACTACTTTAAGATACCATCCTAACCCAGAAAGAATGGTTATCATCAAAAAAATCTAATAATAACAAATGTTGATAAGGATACAGGGAAAAAGGAACTCTTCCATATTGTTAGAAGGAAAGTAAACTAATACAACCACTATGTCAAAAATCATTGTGGAGAGTCCTCAAAAAACTAAAAACAGAAATTCCATTTAACCCAGCAAGCTCCCTTCTAGGTATCTTCCTAAAAGAGTTAAAATTATCATATTACACATTTATGCACATTCATGCTTATAGCAGCACAATTTACAGCACCTAGATCTTGGAAACAGTGTATATGTTTACCAGCGGATGAACGGATAAGGAAAATGTGGCATTTATACACAATGGAGTACCACTCTGCCATAAAGAAAGATAAACTTAAGGAATTTGTAGATAAATGGGTGCAACTTGAGAACATGTTAAATGAAATGTCGGGCTGGGGATTTAGCTCAGCAGCACAGCGCCTGCCTGGAAAATGCGAGGTCGTGAGTTTGATTCCCAGTACCGGAAAAAAAAAAAAATGAAATGTCAGACACACAAGTTTAAATATCACATAGTTTCTCTTATATGAGAAACTGTGTGTGTGTGTATATATATATATACGGAAATGAGAAAAGTGGAAGATAGAAAAACAGGAAGTAGGGAGAGGTTCAGATAGTTCCCTAACTTACCTATATCATTGTTTCAAAAATATTTTAATTTATATGTTCATTTGTTTCATTTATCCTACCAGTTTCTTTGCCCACTAAAAGTTTTGTGCTGATATCTGTTTCTTCTCTGTAAGTTAACCTTTTTTGTTGATGTCTTATACTCTGAGTAACTACTTTGAAGATGATATACAGTGTATTAACTATTGTTATTCTTATTTGTTATGAGATTTTATTTTTTCATTAAATAAAAAAAGAAAAAAAATTACTTATGACACCTGCAAGATTAAAACAAACCACCTATTTAAAAGGGACATATTCTTTCTGGTATTGCAACTTAAAAGACATTTGCTTTTTGGATCTTCATATCAAAGGATTCAAGTGGTGTAATATCATAAATATTACCCTTAAAATGTATTCCTACACTATTTAAAATAATGAGTTTTGTAGGGATGTTTTTTATATTCCTTAATATAAACAGCAATACAGAAAGGGAACATAGTAAAGCAAATCTACTGAAGGAGTGTTTGTTGGGGCAGTGGAGGAGACACAAAATCAGACCATATATATCCAACTAAATCCAACCATAAATTTGAGAATATAGTATCTGTAGAAAAAGAAGGATAACATGTTTTTTAGAAAATCTTCCAAAATTGTTTTCAACTAGGGTTTTCATAAATTTAATGTGATAAGCCAGGTTAAAATGATATGCTCAAACACTTCTTTTCTAAGGAGTGACAGTAGATTAACACAATTTCATCAACACTAAGCCTCATCAGGACATGTTAGAACAAACACTAATTCAAACAATGCAACTTCTAACTGAATCCTCAGGATTTAGTAGTTGAAAAAGCGGCCTACAGTTGTAAGCAGTTAAAAGTTGAAAACTATTTACTAAATTAATTCTTAATAACAACATGTATACATATGTGATGGAAAACATCAATTATACAACTAAGCCAAGCGTATATAGAGAATGCATTCTGGGTGTGGTGGCACATGCCTATAATCCCAGTACTGTGGCAGGTTGAGGCAAAAAGATCATAAATTCAACCCCAGCTAGGGCAATTTAATGACTGAGACACTATTTCAAAATTAAAAGGGAAGAACTGGAGCTGTAGCTCAATCTAAATACCTGGGTTCAATTCCCAGTGTTATGAGAGGAAAAAAATGTTTATTTTGGCTTAAAGAACCTGTCATTCTTTGGAATAAGAATTGATTAAAATTTTTCTGACTATAGACCATGGCAATTCTCTGACTAGTGTTACCTGCAGGTACTATAATCTTGAAATGTGTTTAGGAAAAGTCTTAAGAGTTGTGCTTCAGCTTGTCCTTTCATATTACTCTCCCATATATTACATTTGAAACTGCTCCAATTTAGCTTGCTTAGTCACTAATTTAGGATACTTCTTCTTTCTCTCCTTTTCCTTTCCTCACTTTCTTCTTTTGCCTAAACAGGTTCAACCTAGCAAAGTTAATTGTATAAATAATCCCTCAGTTTGACAGTACATTCTAGGGTCTTCTTTTTCACTTCTACCACATTATGAAAAAGCAGTGTAAATATAAAGAATGCCGAGTCAGGCATATTTGTATATAAATCCTACCTCTGTCACTTGTTAGTTGAGTGACCTGAACATTCTGCCTAAACTCTGAGCCTTACTTTCCTCATCTATGAAAAGGGAAAAATGATACCTACATATAGTTATTAAAAGAGATGTCATCTAGAAAATGCCTCACATTCTTTAGCTGGACACTCAGTAGTTGTTAGTTTTACTGAATTCCCATTTGCCACAATACAAAGCCACTAGGCAATAATAATTAAATTATTCTAAATGCCAGATGTGACATTTGTATATATTACGTCTTAGCAACTTGGGTTAGACTCTACTCCCTTTTTGCAATCTACAACCATTCTATTTGACTTGGAGGCTGCAGTAGGTAGAATAATCCCCCAAAGATATCCACATTTTAATCCTCAGAAACTGTGCATATATTCTCTCACACAATAAAGGGAACTTTGCATTAAGTTAAGGATTTTGAGACAGATTATCCTGGATTATCCTGGTGGGCTCAGCGTAATCACAAGCATCCTGATAAGTACAGGTGGGAGGTTGAGACTCAGTTAGAGAAGTAGGAGACCAGAGTTCCAAGAGCTATGAGGATATAAATAAATTTGGAATGGTGAGATGCTGGCTGTGAAGATGGAAACAGGAATGCAGCCTCTGGAAGCAGGAAAATACAGGCAAATGAATTCTCCCATGGATCCTCCAAGAAGAACATAATGTTGCCAGTTCCTGGATTTTAGATCAGTAAGAATCATTTTGGTCTTTGGACCTCTAGATTCATAACATATTATATTTGTAGTTTAGGCCATTAAGTTTGGGATAATTTGTTATAGGGTGCTAAAGATACTCACTGCAACTGAGTCAGGTTTTAGTCCTTTCAGTGGACTAGGTTAGAAAATGTGCATGAGCTCATGATGATACTTTCAATTCAAATTTAATACTATAGGCTGTTTAGTTGATCTCTCTTTTCATCTGTATCAATATTAGGAGTAGCAGAGTTAGAATATACCATAATTATTTATTTATTTATTTTTGTTTTTTTTTCCGGTACCAGAAATCGAACTCACGACCTTGCGCTTGCCAGGCAGGAGCTGTGCTGCTGAGCTAAATCCCCAGCCCCCATAATTATTTATCTTGTTCCCACATTACAGACACAATTATCTCAGAAAAGCAGTATAAACACTACCATTAATAATATGACTAATGAAAAGTAAAAAATTTTTTTGTAGTTTTCTGTCCTTGTAACATACCTTATGAAGAATATAAAAAATTAACTACACTTTAAAGTCACTCACAATTATGACCTTTACAAATTGTTTTATATTTTCAGAATTATTGTCCTTTCCTTTCTGCACCAATCACAGTTCTACTATCTGTTACATAATTATTTTTATTGCTTTGGCCAATGTTTTAGTGTATTGAGTTAGGATGTAACATTTACTATTATATAATCATGCAAACTGGCTTTTATGATATCTGGAAAAGAATTCTATAACCAGCCTCTTTGTCGTATCCTTGATTACGATTCTATAGAGTAGCATGTTCAACACCACTGACAGATTTCCAATAAGGTATCAATGTCTGATTTAAAGACATTCAGGAGAAAGCTGAGGATTGCATCTTTGGTTTATATTCCAAATACCCCACAACTGCATTGTCTTTAAAACAAGAATTGATTTAATGAGCTTGAAAAAACAAATTGCACCCTATTACCACATACTCAAATATCTACAGTAACAGTTTTTGTTTTTTTTTTGGTAATGGGAATTGAACTCAGGACCACGTGTTTGCCAGGCAGGTGTTGCACCACTGCGCTATATCCCCAGCCATACAGTAACTTTTTAACAGAAAATTTATTCCATTGCAAAGAGATCATTTGGTATTTCTCTGCTGACTGTGTCAGCAGGATCAGAAGAATATAATTGATGTATAAGAAATGGGATACAGGACTATATTGAATGTTATTATGAATATGAATTGACAAATATACACTAGTGCATATTAAAGTAATCATTCTAGAAAGCAGCAAGAAATGGCATTTGGCTGAAATTTGTTCTCTGTTAGGAGAGGTCACCCAAACTGGCAGACTACAAAGCATTAAGTCATGTTCCAAAGGGTTAGGTCTGCAATTGGCAGGGTTTCAGCAAGAAGCAAGGTAGAGCTGCCTGGTGACAGGGCACAGCAGAGCCCTATGACCAGCTTTGCCAATTAGGAGAACATAAGCCTGAAGCCAGAGAGCCTCACAACAATGACACAGAGATTACATTAGATTGAAGCTGAAGAAATGAACCAAAGTTGAACTAAGGCTTTGAATTTAAGTGTTTATGTGGACCCACAGTCAGATCACTCAAGGAAAGGATACACAGGAGGCACAGAGAAGAGTTGAAATAAAAGCCAGGAATGAAGCCTAGCATCAGTATTTTTCAGTTGCAAACTGAAAATACACTCTAGGTATTGCAAGCAAAATAGAATTCAGTAAAAGGCAGCTGGGAAGAGGGTCTCACAGAATTGACAGAAGCTGGAAGACATGGTCTAGGCAGAACCCAAAATTCTACAGAGACAGGGAAGTAGGATGATCTCCACTGTTTTGTGGCAGAAACTGTGTAGTCAGAGTGCTGCTTTTTGGATGGAGTGCCCTTCTGTTTTTAGTTTCCATGTTCCTCTGTTCCAGATTCAAATCTAGAGAAAAGGTACTCAGTTGGCACTGTTTGAGCACTGTATTCTCCACAGATACCCCCTCATCTATAAAACTTTTACTGAAAAGTAGGGACCCTGATCACTACTTTTAGAGTGAGGTAGTGAAAACTCAACTAGGAGAAATCTCAGTAGAAATCTACTAGGGAATTATAAACAAACAATGGATAGCCATTATCCCATAAATGTCAATACACAGTTGGTAAAAAAGAATAATAGGGCCTAAATCAAATTCAATAAAAAATGTTTTACCTTAGCGTCCTAAGTCCAGTTCTAAGTCTTAGACTCTTAAAGTAGACAATAGCTAGATATTTGACATTTTCAGCTTCTATTACTGTTCATAATACAGTTGGCTTCTAAAATACAGATTCCTAGGGTTCAGACAGTACAGCTATTTAGTACTTACTATATACCAAATAGTGTGGTAAATATATTATAGACACATTATTGCATTTACTCTTGTGGATATCAAATATGATATAGGTATTATTGTCCCATTTTGTAGATGAACTGAGGTTTAGACTACTTAAAAGCTTGTGCAAGGAAGAAATACAGAAGGACATTGAAAAGTGGCATAATCCTAATTATAGCAGTGAAACAGAACTAAATAGAAGTGAGGGTTCCTCTTGCATCAATTTTAACTCGTGTTGACTTTGTGATTTTTGTTCAGCCGGATATAGAATCAATACTTAATAAGATTAAGTTGGAGGATGATGACATGTCAGGAATTAAGCAGTACAAGTTGGTGAAGAGAATGATGCAGTTAAGACCAAGTATGATCAAATATGAGAGATCAAAGAAACATAATTAGACAAAGAGGCTGACTTCCCTGTTTACTGTCCAAAGGGTACATGAAGGTCAGACATGGCTTAGATAAGCATTGGCAGCAGTGTAGTCCTACCCAGCAGAAGGATAGAGTAACCCAACAATCCTAGTCAGTGGAGAATGACTGAAGTTTAGTCATCTGAAAATAATCCATCACAGTAGGAACTTATCCAGAGAAGCAAAATCTTGTCAAAACTGGAACTAGTGAACAAATTTCCAAAGCAAGCTTAAAGTTTACGCCTTCTCTACAGTGGTTTGGAAAGGATACAGCTTCATTTAGGAGAAGTAACCAAAGGAGAATCCAGTGCTATAGCTTGGGAAACATTAGAGAGACAGGCAAGTGGCAGATCTTGAGGTCCACATGAAGCTGGAGCTCATACTTGGCACTCTACATCTTCAGCCAGAAGACTTCATGATTCCTATGGATGGGAACTGACAAAACATTTAGTCGTATTCAGATTTGGCTCACGAATTTGGATGAGTCTTGGGTGGATATTGGGAGATACAATTACGGGGAACAGGAGAAGTCAAGGGGAGGGAAAACAGAATAGGGACTAATTGCTATGGTCATCAGAGTCATACATTACCCAGAATTTAAACTGTTCTTGAAACCATTAAGAAAAAAATAACAGCCGTACCTAACTCCATTTATCGCAAAACAACATTCTTTGGACAGTTAATCTTGCCTAAAAGCTGTCAAAATTCAGATCTGCAAATAGAAAAAATAAAAAATTAAAACTGTCTAGTTAGAGATTTAGTCACCATTTTTGATAAGGCATTTTTACCCTTTTATCATGTTTATAGTTTTTCTCTACAGTTTTCTTTATTGAAGTTCTTTTTTTTTAAGGATATAGTTTCTCTTTGATGAGGTTGTAATATTGCTCTCCACAAATTACTTTTTTTTATTAACCACATTAACTTTCACCTTCCCTTTTACTTATTGATGATTTACTTTCTACATGGACAGTATTCCTTCGAGGGGTGCTATGAAATGAAAATTTATCTTCACAAAATATGTATGTTGAAACCTAAAACTACAATGTGATGGCATTTGGAGGTGGGACGTTGGAGTAATTAGGCTTAAGTGACATTGTGAATGCAGGCCCTCATGATGGGATTAAGATGAAGATGAGCAAGATCACTCTGGCTCTCCATACCCATAGAGGTTATGTGAGTAAAGGTTATGTGAGGACATGAAGACAACACCAATCTGAAATCCAGAGTAAAATCCTCTCTAGAACCTAACATAACTGCCTCTCTGATCTTGGAATTCCAATGGCCAGAACCGTGAGAAAAAAAAATTTCTATTGCTTAAGCAACTTAGTCTATTAAATTTTGTTATAGTCTGTCTTAAGTCCACTTTTCATTTATGTAATAGACTACCTGAGACTGGCTTATTTATAAAGCCCAGGGCTTTATTTTGGCTAAAAGTTCTGAAGGCTGGGAAGTCCAAAATCAGATGTCTGAACATGGTAAGTGCCTTATGTTGTTTCAATTCATGGTAGAAAGTGGAAGGGCAAGAGGGCATACACAAAAGAGCATGATGAGAACTTTATAAAACTTGCTCTCAAGGTAGCTCTTCCAGTCACACCAGAGAGGACTCACTCTCGCAAAGACAGTTCTGTTCCCATGATCCAAACACCTCCCAACAGGCAACACTGCCCAACACTGCTGCATTAATAATTAAGATTCCAAACCATGGCATATCTTGAGTTAAGAAGTTCTAAAAGTGGGATTTAATTAACATTTCTAGAGATCATTATTATGAACTATAATAAGAGTCTGAGGAAAGTTTTGTGATTCTTGTATATTCATTTTTCTACCCACAAAATACTTATAAGCATTCTCCTATGGATGATATAAAACACTGTCTTGACTCTTCCTACATGTACTCATGTAAAAATCCGAAAGTAAATCTGCTAAGGAATAGCTTTTCAAAAACCTGATCTAGCTGCTATGATTAACTTCTTTCCAGAATCCTTCTTGTCTCTTCCCATGACTACAGGCTTCATTGGGGAAGTAGTAAGTAAAATATGTTTCTCTGCTCCTAGTTTCTGGCTACTTTAACAATGTCTTATTTTGCATTCTTCTTCTTTCTACTTGGTCGTTAGTTAATTCTTAATTATTTAATATTCATAATACTGAAAGAATAGTATTAAAATATATATAACAGACAATGTTGGAACAGAATAATATTACAATATTTATAGATAGATAATATTGAGATAGGATAGATATTGAAAAAGAAAGATGTACCCAATGCTTTTTTTTCCAGGTCTTATTCTATGTCAACCAGTAAATCATCCTGTCAGAATTACTGGTAAATGTACCCACTGCTTTTTTTTCAGGTCTTACTCTATGTCAACCAGAAATCACCCCTGTCAGTATTTGGAAGAAGAGAATGAATGCTTCATCTGTCTTTACTTTGAAAAGTTTTAATAAATATCTCATAATTTTCTGCCTAAAACTCTAATCAATCTACCCCTTTCCTTCTTTTTCCCACTTTAAGTCTCATTGCTTACAAAGACTGGGAAACGGCTAGCTTTACTTTTCATAAAATCTACATACCATTACCTCCCAAACAAAGCAAATAGTTTGTAGAACATAAAGAGAAAGCTTTTGTCAAAAGAGGAATTGATGAAATGCAAATTTCCAGTATGCTATAAAAGACTGTGACAACATGAACACATAAGATTTATACTAAATTGGTGTTGAAAAAAATAACAATGTAAACATCTAAAGACTAACAATGCTAGGAAATGGGGTGACACAACAAATGAACTATATTTATGATACATGGAAGAATTATGGAAGAATATGAACTGTCTGCTTATGTTGAGACATTAAGCTATATAAGACAGAGTTTTAGTTAAAATATCTAAAGTTTGGCTTTTCCTTCATTCATATGATCTGTTCTCATATTGTCTTATTTTTCTTGCAAGTTAACAGAATGACTGAAAATTTTATTGTTTCTTAACTACATTACTTGCCAAGTTTTATGTACAGGCCAAATTTTAATGAAAATCTTCATTAAAATTTAAAAAATATAAACATTCACATTCATTTCTAATTTTAAAATGATTTTATCATTTTTTATATTTCTTAAACGTTTATTAAAACTTAGAAGAGTTGGTATCTTTACTTACAAAATGGCTTGGTGGGAACTGAGAACATTTAAACGCTGGCGAATTTTATGAAATTGTTTTCTATACTGCAGACATTTCTTTTCCTTTTTGGGTTAATTTTGTGTCCTGACTAGTACTGGGTCATGCAACAGATCAGATACTTCGGCGGGTACGTCATTTGATGCGCACATTTACTCTAACACTGAACTACATCCCCAGGCCCCTTCGCTGCTTTTTCCCATTACTCTTTCAAGGCTGAAAAACCAATCACTTCTTGATCTCCTCCTCTGGGAAACAGCATGAGAGTGGTAAAAAATTCACTGTCACACCACGTAGCACAAAGACAAAGATACTAACTTTCCATACTAACTTCCCTTCTGAAGCTAACACATAACCCTGTAAAGGCAGGGAGGGAATATAAGGTCAATCTTCATTTTAAAATGCATTTGTTTCATTGGAACCTTTTAAACTTTGAGAGAAGGAAAAATATACCTAACACTCAAATCTCCTGTAACAGCGAACTTAACAATACACAAGTGATTATCTTTAAGCAGCACTAGGCCATGAATTTTCCTGGTGTGCACTTAACTTTTGAAAGAATTTCAGACGTAAGAATAACATTTCAAATAACTACAGTTTTAGCGCCCTCTCTGTCTTTGTGGTGGGTGGGTTTCCTCAGCGGTCTCATTAGAGGAAGGAATGTAATATTCTGTTTTCTATGAGGGCTGTGTGGACTAGAAAGTGGAGTCAGAAAATAACAATTTCACCACACTTGATAATTTAATGACTTGAGTCACGGTTAGCCTTAGAATTCCAGGAGGTTCATTCGAAAACCTGGGCTACTACCTATCACACCACGTGCACTACTTCACCTCGGAATGGCGCTCCTCACAGACGGCCCAGGAGATGCAGGGCGGAGCCGGGCAGTGCTTCTAAGCACCCGACTCCCTGACAGCACTGGGGTCAGCGAGAAGCAGGAGACAACGTCAGCCTGGTGATGTCATGCTTCCAGCCCGGCCTAGGACGGCTTGGCACCTGTAAAAGCAAGGCTGGGCACCTTGACTGGCACCAACGGCGCCCTTACGGCCGTTTGCTCACTGAATTCTTAGTAGCTCTCCTAACCCATGGCAGGGCTGTCCCCTCGCTCTCTCCGGACACTTTGCCAAGCCTCCACTGCCTTGGACTAGTCCGGAAAAACACACTCGCACCTTCAACCGCGGCGCACTCAGCCTCAGGAGGAGCTCGCCAGAAGGCGGGAATGGGGCGGGGCTTAGCCTTTAGAGCAGTCCCCAGCCAATGAGCACGCCGCCTGCCTTCCTCTTGGAGATCCGACCAATCCGAGCACGTTAGTGTAATCTTCGGCTCTGCTCGGCTCTTTTCGCCGCTGCGGGCAGTCGGGGGCCTCCACAGCCGCTGGAGAGACGCTTTCCTCTTTTATTTTTTTCCATGTGTTCACTTCCGGGTCCGGCCCGATCCGGATGCTCGAGGCAGAAGGATGTTTGACCTCCGGATAAGCGAGGCGCCGCTGTGCATTCATTCGCGGCTGCATCGGTGGCGACAGCAGCGGCCCAGGCGGCGACTCTCCGGCCAGCGGCGGCGGTAGGAGGCCCCGGGAGGAGTGCGGAGACCGAGTCC